TCAAGTCCAAGTCGAGTCTCGAGTCACTGGCCCATAAATCCAAGTCAAGTCCAGTTCGTCTGCTTTGAGCTTCAAGTCTTTTCAAGTCTTTAAACCAAAGCACCAAATACAGCTTAGATTTTTGCAATTTATATGAATTTGAAACTAAATTGTACTTAAAAAGTCATAGTATATTTTTTTATGAGTATTTATAAAGTATACAGGAGTTGTAGAAATTAATTTATAATAGTAAATTTTTCCTTTTTAAATGTCTTGACAAGATTTTATTGTGATTCATTACAGTCAGAGTAGAAAAAATTCAGATTTAAAAGTGCTTCTCAAGTCTTCTCAAGTCACAGACATCAAGTCCGGGTCAAGTCCCAAGTCACTGACCTTCAAGTCCAAGTTGAGTCCCAAGTCTTAGTCCATTTTATCAAGTCAAGTCCTAAAAATAGTGACTCAAGTCTGACTTCCCCACCTCTGCAGTTTAAGCAGAGCAATGACATTTCCCTAGAAGAAGATGGACTCAGTGCAGCTTTAAATATTAAAATTAATTAAAATGAATAAATACAAAAGATTAAGACAGGACATTTAGTTGGAAATTATACTTGTAGCCTTGGTCTGCGGTCGCATTTTTGTATTGCGCTTTTTCACTTTCAAGTCTCTCAAAGCGAATTACAACAAGGAACCACACGCCCATTCACGCACACGTTCAAACACCAGTGTACACAGACACTTGCGGTGAGGTGGGTTAAGTGTCTTGCTCAAGAACACAACAACAGCATTCATCTGTGGGAACGGGAATTGCCAAATGTTTATTATGTCGAGAAGGGGATTCAAATTACCCTGATTCATTCGTTCGTTCGTTGAGCCTCGCAGCATTAGGATTCGTTCGCTCGACGGTAGGCGGATACTTTTTTTATTTAACCAATCGCTGCTGTTTGGTCGTGACGTATGTAATGCGCAAAATCTCGTAGGAAGAAGAGCAATAACGTCTTTCCCCTTGATAAAATTCACCAAACATTCTCTTTATTCTGGCTTTTAATCCTTAATGTCGGGAATCGTTGCCAACACGGAATGTACGTCTTCGTCTTCATCCATCTCGACCGCTTTGTTTACTGCTCCACAAAAGGGACCCAGACAGACGCTTGAGTTTGACGTCGTGACTTCACAGATCTTCACTGATTGGCCGGTGCGCGTTCTAGTGTAAACCGTCTAGTGCACAGGTGTCAAACATGCGGCCCGGGGGACAGATCCGGCCCTCCAAGACCTTTAATCTGGCCCTCGGCTGATTTTCTACTAAAATATTTTAATTCTATTTTTTATTAAAATATTGTTAATTTTCAGCGGTGCTTATCTGTGCGTAGCCCCTCCCACCAGAGCAGCACAAATGAAGACTTGTCTCTTTCCAAACGCTCTTAAAGGACGATCGTTTTGACTGTTGACCGTGACACCCTCATCAGAAAAATGTCCAAAATGAGAAAAGTGAAGCCGAATGCAGGATTTTTCAAGAAAAATTTACTTATTCCTATTTATACAAGTTAATGTTAAACAAGTTCATGTTAAAACTTTGTGTTGAAATTGTATTTTTCTTAAAGTTTCAGGTTGTTCATAATATTATAATATTTTGTAAAAGAAAGAGTTCATCAATTAAAAAAGATTTCTTTAATAGATTTGTGTTTCTCTGCACAAATATTTGAACTCATTGTTATTTTTGGGGTTTATATGCCATGAGTTTTCTGATCCGGCCCCTTTGGGATCAAAGTCAGTTGGATACGGCCCCTGGACCAAATTGAGTTTGACACCCCTGGTCTAGTGTGTTCTGATTCCTGACCTAGTCGCTGGAGAGAAATGAAATTGAGCGGAGGCACTTAGGCTAGATTCAAACGTCCAACCTTTGGATCGGTGGACAAACACTTTACCAACTGAGCTCCTTTACTAATTGTGTCCATTCAAATTTCTATTGAACCTTGCTTTAGTTTTTTCGCCCCAATATTCCAAATCTGCTCTTGTCATCTGGCTTTTCCCCCGTGTTTATTCTAGTGGTTGCGCATTAGCTGAATCATACTTGTTTTTCTTGTTTTTCCCATCTTGAGGTATTCTGTTTTCCCTGCAAAGTCGTATTGAAATGCATGTACTGTAATCGCCCTTGAGGTTGTGTTGTGTGTCTGTGTGTGTGTCTGTGTGTGTGTGTGTGTGTGTGTGTGTGTGTGTGTCTAAAAGGGATGAAACCGACTCTGATCTTATCCAGCTTAAGACAAATACATTGTTCGCGCCTGCAGACATCGTCATGGAAACAGGCCCGTCTCCCTGGGTACCACAGACCGGGCCAAATTCAACTACAGCGAGGCGAGCGATGGGAGGAAGATAAGAGAGAGGGAGAGAGAGAAAGGAAGAGAGAGAAGAGAGAGAGAGAAGAGAGAGAGAGAAGAGAGAGAGAGAGAGAGAAGAGAGAGGGGCATATATGAAAAAGACTGGATTAAACAATGCTTCATGTTTAACAAAAAGTGGTAACAGTTGTAGTAATAGTAGTTTTATTCATTAATATTAGACAATATTAGTCATAGTAGTAGTAGTAGTAGTAGTAGTAGTAGTAGTAGTAGTAGTAGTAGTAGTAGTAGTAGTAGTAGTAGTAGCAGAAGCAGTAGAAGTAGTAGTAGTAGTAGTAATCTGTAGTATTTGACAATATTGGTCATAGCAGTGGTAGTAGTAGTAGTAGTAGTAGTAGTAGTAGTAGTAGTAGTAGTAGTAGTAGTAGCAGTAGTAGTAGTAGTAGTAGTAGTAGTAGTAGTAGTAGTAGTAGCTGTAGTATTAGTAGCAAGTAGCAGTCAGTAGTAGTAGTAGTAGTAATCTGTAGTATTGGACAATATTAGTTATAATAGTAGTAGTAGTAGTAAGTAGTAGTAGTAGTAGTAGTAGTCAGTAGTAGCAGTAGTAGTAGTAGTAGTAAGTAGTAGTAGTAGTAGTAGTAGTAGTAGTAGTAGTAGTAAGTAGTTAGTAATAGCAGTAGTAGTTAGTAGTAATAGTAGTAGTAGTAGTCAGTAGTAGTAGTAGTAGTAGTAGTAGTAGTAGTAGTAGTAGTAGTAGTAGTAGTAGTAGTAGCAGCAGCAGAAGTAGTAGTAGTAGTAGTACTAATCTGTAGTATGAGACAAGATTGGTCATAGTAGCAGTAGTAGTAGTAGTGTAGTAGTAGTAGTAGCAGTAGTAGTAGTAATAGCAGTAAGCAGTAGTAGTAGTAGTAGTAGTAGTTAGTAGTTAATAGTCATATAGTAGCGAGTAATAGAACTAAACGGAGAGTAGCAATAATAGTAGTAATAGTAGCAGCAGCAGCAACAGTAATAATAGTCATATTAGTCAGTAGTATTAGCAGTAGTAGTATTTTGGTACAGTATTAAGCCCCTCATCTGTGGTAATACGTATTTCCAAGACAGTAGCACTAGTATCAGTAGTAATAGTAGCAGTGGCATTAGTAGATGTACTCTGGACATCATTTTGGTATTAGCAGCCAAATTTAGTTTTTGTTTTGTATATTAGCGGTTACACGCAGTGATTAGTAGTAGTATTATTGTAGTAGCAGTACTAATATCCACACTCACAATACTTGTACTGCTCCTTCCCATTTTAAGTCGAACGTAACACCGTCTTTTCCATTCGATCTTTTGGTTTCTCGCGGCTCCACAGATGGGGTCTAAACTGAGCCGGAGCGAGCGGAGCGATGAGCGTCCGATAACAGAGACACAAAGGGAGGCACATGAAAAAGACGGCACATAATAGCACAACCAGCCCGGCCTTTTGTTTCCTGTTAGAATAGAATTAGCTTCATTAGCCACTCGCGCGCTGTTTCGCCGTGTAGCAATCGTGTTTCAAATTATGCTATTGTGGTGTAGATTCAATTAGGATCTGGATAATGATATGACCAAAACTATTGTCATTTGGCGTGGCTGATACTCTGCGGCGACATCGGGCTGGGGGGGGTTGTATTTTCTATGTGTCGCTATGGTGAAATGTTACCATGGCGACGCAATGTACACATTAGCAATAACTAGCGAAAAACGGTTTGAAGATTGTCTGAAAACTCAAGAAAAACACAAAATGGATTTAAACAAAACATTTTCAGAAGTCTGTTGTCATTATGAGCGTTCATTGTCTTGTTTAGGTGTTTGATTTTCAACAAAAATAACTTGGGCTGACTGAAAAACTGTTGGCTAATGCTAACTAGCTTGTAATTATAATGTTGTTGTTTTTTTTTTATTAATTAATTTAATTTTTGTGATTATAATGTTATGTGTGAGAGAGTTGTTTAAGCGCACAGATCAGCACAAGTCAATGAGTTTATACTACATTTTAATTTGATAATTTGGGAAATATGAGCTAAAAATCAGCACAAAAATCAGCCATAATTTTTTTTAAACATTTGAATTCTTAATATTTCACAAAAAAATAGAAACATCTTGAATTATAAGGCCAGAAAATATGATACTTAGGGCGTTTTCCACACCATTAGTTTGATTATTTGGTTCACACCAGGCCATAAAATTGTTATTATGTGGCATATAGACTCTAGTTTGGTCCGCTTTTACACTGGCAAACGAACCAAAATTGGTCCGATTGACGTTTCATCGGTGTTTATCTTCCAGTAGAAATAAGCGAATAAGCGAAGAACTCATAAAACAGCAGCATGTTGCCTATAACTTTACACAGAAATCACCACACACCACGCACTCTTAAACACTGAGTTCAGACAACATCGATAAACAGCACACCCCGTCGCGCTCATCCCCTCAGGACAGATCTGGGGGTTTGGTCCTTGGTCTTGTGCCGTCCTCCGAGTATGTTGGTCAGATAGGTCCAGAGGCTCTGTCCTCCATGTCCTAGTTCCAGACACAGATGAGCAAGATCAGTGTGTAATGAACTGGGTCTGAAATCGTCCGAAATCGAGAATGTGCTGTGGACTACAGGTCCCTTCTGGCTGCTCCTGTCCTTCGTGCTCGAGGACTGCGGCTGGTTCTGATGGTTTAAAGCATCCGGACAGAAGCGCGAATCCGGTTTGGTTCGTTATATGTTGCTTCTGATGCTGTCCGTACCAGAGTTTGGCATTTGCTGCGGAATTAAGAGGACCGAGACCACCTTTTTTTGAGGTCTCGGGCAGCTTGATTTAATGCAGGATCCTAGTGCAGTTGATGCTTTCACAACAACGAAAACGAACCGAACTAAGAGCTTTTGGTTCGAAGGGTCCATTTGGTGTCAGTATGAGACAACCGGCCCTTAAAGGTTGTATGGAGGATTTTTTGTTTTGTTTCAAATTGTCTATGAAAGTTCAAAATAAAATTATAGAGATGCAGCAGCCTTGTAATTATGATGACCAAAAAAAAAAAAGAATGAAAATCCATCAACTGTGGATGTGATGGGGGCAGATAAACATCAGCCAATAGAAAACAACGCTACCTCTTTTTCTATTGGCTGTTGGGTTGTCAATCAAACTCCCTACGTTTCTATCGTCACTGAGTTGCAGACGCGCTGGGATTATGTGGTTTACGTTTACCCCATGCACTGATGCTTTTTACTCAACCAACACAGCGGTTCTTAGCGTCTTTTTCGAACTGTAGCTTCCTCTCACACAAAGTTTTGCACAAACTTTGTTGTGACGGCAGACAAAAATTCATGACCAGTTTGCGACAAAAGAAAGTCTGTTTTGGACGTAGCTGAAAGAAGAAGAGACGGGGAAGAGGAGCGAAGTGCGACAATTGAAAATGGACAAACAGTCGCTGCATTTCTCTTTCCTTGGAAAAATCTTCTATACAACCTTTAAATACTTATGCACTGTGTAACTTTTGGTCCGTCAGTCACCTTCTTGTTTGTATGGATCATTGCTCTACCTGGAATGTTCCACAGTATGACATTAAACAGCTCTACCTTACATTTATTCAAGTACAGGTGGTTTTATAGCTTAAATATACCTAGAAAATCTGACAGAGCAGGGTCGCCACAGATCTGACCTGTAACTTGGTCTGGTTTGGTCTCCATGAAGATAGATAGGTTTAATTAGGGGTGTGCAAAAATATCAAAACATCGATTGTTTAATGTGATGATACAGTATTGATATCGTGGGTTGCTGTATCGATATATCGCTGAGAGTAGTTTTTGATATATTTTGGTGCTACAAGTTTTGTTGCTTGTTTAGAGGAAGGAAACTCATTTGACATTTTCGCTGTTTTGATGAGTAAAATTGGCGTTTTTCTTGTTAAATTTGCAGAAAAAGTGGTTTAACAAAGACTTTTAGTATCACAGCCATGATTTAGCCTTTATTTTTTATTGAACCATATCGAATCGTTTTGAAATATATCGTATTGAATCAAAAGTGCACTGTATCGAGATATGTATCGTATCGGCAACTTCTTAATGATACCCAGGCCTAGGTTTAATGTCATACTGTGAAACATTCCAGATGAAGCAATACCATCTCCATGAAGAAAAGACTTTGATGGACCCTCCACCAGAAAAGTTACACAATGCACCTTTAAATAACTTACCTCTAGTCAGCCCTACCCCTATAGCGACATCGCACTCCGCCACATCGCCGCGTGTCCTCCCTCTCCTCCTCCGAGTTCAAATTTCCGTTTTCCGCTCACCGCTTTGTCAGATGCTGCTGTCAAATTTTTCAAACGCGTTATTTCATTTTGGGGGAAGTGATGCTTTCAATTTGACAAAGAAGGAAAAAAAAAAACTACCACCCACCCACCACCTCCACTGACACAGGCAAGTCATATATCATTTGTACCAGACAGTAATATCCTCCTCACACAGCATTGCTCCCTTGGTTGAGATGTGATGGCCCCAGTCGCTTTGAAAACTCGCCGTATATCACGAATCCAACCGGCGTTCATGGCGTTTAGTGAACTTACAGTATGTATTTTGCACACTTTTCGTATAACATATATATACGCAGTGACGGGAAGAATACTTTGCAAATGTATTTAGGTCCAGACAGTGTTGGGGAGTAACAGATTACATGTACCAGAGTTACGTAATCAGAGTACAAATTACGAGTAACTGTATTCAATTACAGTTACTGTTTCAGTGAGCAGTAATTGGATTACAGTTACTTTGCTGAAATAAATGGATTACATGGCGATATTTTCCTGTTTTCACATTTTGGGCTATTTTTTTTTTTTTTTTTTTTGTAATTCCACTCATTGCTGGACATTAAACCAGGACTAGAACCAAGTCTAAACCAGGACTAAACCAGGTCTAAACCAGGTCTAAAACCAGGTCTAAAACCAGGTCTAAACCAGGACTAAACCAGGTCTAAACCAGGTCTAAAACCAGGTCTAAAACCAGGTCTAAACCAGGACTAAACCAGGTCTAAACCAGGTCTAAAACCAGGTCTAAAACCAGGTCTTAACCGGGACTAAACCAGGATTAAAACCAGGTCTAAACCAGGTCTAAAACCAGGTCTAAACCAGGACTAAACCAGGATTAAAACCAGGTCTAAACCAGGACTAAATCAGGATTGAACCAGGACAGAACCCAGGTCTAAACCAGGACTAAACCAGGTCTAAACCAGGTCTAATACTAGGTCTAAAACCAGTTCCAAACCAGGACTAAACCAGGTCTAAACCAGGTCTAAAACCAGGTCTAAAACCAGGTCTAAAACCAGGTCTAAACCAGGACTAAACCAGGATTAAAACCAGGTCTAAACCAGGTCTAAAACCAGGTCTAAACTAGATCTAAACCAGGTCTAAACTAGATCTAAACCAGGACTAAAACAGGATTTAACAGGACGAAACTATTCTCTCAATAATATTTTTAATTAATTAAAGACTGGGTTTTTTATTTTCTTTTAGCAGACAAAACATCTTATGTGAAGAGATCCGAGTCTTTGCTTCTCTACAGCAAATCAAGTAATCCAAAGTATTCAGATTACGTTACTCACTTTAAGTAATTTAATGGATTACGTTACAAACTACATTTTGGGGTATGTAATCTGTAATCTGTAGGGGAATACATTTTAAAAGTCACCTTCCCAACACTGGTTACAGAATACTGAATAACTCCATTAAAATGTGTTTTGTAATGTATTTTCCGACACGTGGTCCAGTCAGACATTTTTGCATCAAGTTGTATTTAAATTATAGATTAAAAGACGCAATATCGTATTAAAGCGAGCGTGATTCTCTAATCTTGACTTAATTTGGTGGGATAATACTTGATGAAAATATAAATATATAGTTTAAATTAGTTTTACACTGATCGAAGCGCAATTTGTGAAGAAAAGCTGAAAAATATGTTGAAAATAAAGTAGAAACCTCTATTTTACACAGTCCCATATTGATGAATTCACGCTGGGAGAATTCTATCAGACACAGTTTGAACCAAATAAACACATTTTCTCAGATACTTTAAAGAATAATTCAACAAAATAAAGGTGTTTTCTGTTCATTTTATTTGTCAGCTATTAATTTCCGTGTACATTAGAGGAGTTTTGGAAGATTTTACTACAGGCTCTATTCACGTTTATGTCACAAACCAAGAAGACGTTTGGAATCATGCGATGACAAAATCTGGGAAAATGAGAAAATGTCCCTGTTTTCTTCATCTACGTGTCATTGTAGTGTTTCGTTATGTTCGGCTAATCAACAATTACAACCACACCTCAGGTTTCATCATTTCCCCACTGACGCACAACGCTGAGTGCCCTGGGTACATGCGATTAAAAGAGATGAGGCACCAAATTCAAGATGTTTCCAAACAGCACGTACGTATCCGTGATCACATTTACTTCAGTTGGTTTGATCACAGTCCGTTGGTGAGCCCAGTGTCGGGAACTACACTAAGGCTGCGTTCAGACTGCAGCCTGAAGTGACCCAAATCTGATTTTTTTGGCTTCTATGTGACCTGCATCTGATCTTTTAATGACAGTCTGAATGACACAGATCAGATTTTTCAAATGTGACCCAGGCCACTTGGATATGTGCTCCTGAAACTGATACATATCTGATCTTTTGACATGCAACTTCAGTCTGAACGGCCAAAGCGCATTCATTCGACCTACACGTTATCAGCAAGCCACAAACGTCACTATTCTGCGCTGAAGTAGGTGAAAATTGTTAATGAACTCCGTGTCACTGAAGTGAAGCACATCACCACTCACCACTCTTGGCTACGTCTCCACATCCACACGTTCCTTTAAACCAGGGGTGTCAAACTCATTTTGGTCCGGGGGCCATATCCAAACGACTTTGATCCCAAAGTGTCCGGATCAGAAAACTCATGGAAAATATACTTCAAAAATAACAATAAGTTCAAATATTTGTGCAGAGAAACACAAATCTATTACAGAAATCTTTTTAAGTTGATGAACTCTTTCTTTTACAAAATATTATAATATTATAATATTATGAACAACCTGAAACTTTAAGAAAAATACAATTTCAACACAAAGTTTGAACATGAACTTGTCTGTAAACAGGAATAAGTCCATTTTTGTTGTAAAATCCTGCACTCGGCTCCACTTTTCTCATGTTGGACATTTTTCTGATGAGGGTGTCACAGTCAACAGTCAAAACGATCGTCCTTTAAGAGCGTTTGGAAAGAGACAAGTCTTCATTTGTGCTGCTCTGGTGGGAGGGGCCACGTACAGAGACGCTGGAGACGCTGCTGTGATAAACACCACAGAAAATTAACAACATTTTAATTTAAATATTTAAGTTGAAAATCAGCCGAGGGCCAGATTAAAGGTCTTGGAGGGCCGGATCTGGCCCCCGGGCCGTATGTTTGACACCTGTGCTTTAAACGGACGTCGCTGCCGCTGCCTCACAAAACTCCACGGCCAAAAACCTCGTCCTTCTCCTTCTCAATCTCCTCCATCTTGCTGCACCATAACTCTTCATTTAGGCAAAGAGACTTGTAATTCGATATATTGTGATGGTCCACGATATTATTGTGAGAACTCTGACGATACGATATCACGATATTTCGGTTATTGTTACATCCCTATTGCAAAAATGTGTAGATTTGAAGGCAATTAAATGTACTTTTGGAATCAGATACTAAT